ATTTCTCACACCATTGACATGCTAGCTTTATTCATCTTTATTCAGTTCATTCCACCATTGCCATTCATTTGAAGGGAACATGAGGGGACCTAGAAGACCCTCGAATCACCTTCAGCACCATTCCTGAGCAACCACTTGTCTGCGCAAATTACATTAATTCTTAACCCAACCTCGTCACCTTGTTTACGGTCGCTCTAATTTGCGCAGATTTCTGAGCATCCACATGTGTCAAAGAAGAAAAAAACAATCCCGCAGAAGCAGCTCCTCCGAGCCCACACCCGTCACTAGCAGTGCCCACTCTGACATGATGCCCAAAGGATCCTGGACATGATGCCCGTGACCGGAGGTTGGAGGGGCTGTTGCAGGGACAACGGATGTGACAGGACCTGTCACACGCAAAAAAAAGAGAGAACCGAACAAGGGATGGGCCTTTCCAGTCCTGGTTGCTACTTTCTGCTTTGCAAATCTTTGCAAGAAGTACAGTCAGTAAGGGTCTCGGTCTAGTCTGGGTGTACTCGGTGTCGCTGACAGTGCATTTTCAGTACTTGCAAAACAGTTTACAAGACAGAGCAGCTGTACAAAACTCTCGTCCAACCACAATCAGGTCCGATCTATGTGACAGAATACATTTGGTGTCAGGTGCCAGGTGGAAAGCAAGCATACTTCTGATTTTTGGGCGATTTCTGATACCTGCATGTCTTATCTAGGGGGGCAGGGCAAATGAATGCCGCTTGGTTGTTCTGAGTAGCCTGTTTCGGCACATCACTTGAAGTACCATCGTTGCCTGCGATGGATCAAAGCATTCTTCCTCAGCTGCAAACTCGCCTTGGAGGCAGCGAGACGAACTGCTGATGAAAGCAGCCAGGCTTGATCCCTTATCGCAATATGACCACGAACACCACATCAACCAAGACGTAGGTATTTCAGGCATTCCGCATGCCTATGGTTCCTCTAAGGCTGCAACTCCCGCCTTCGGACTTGGAGGGAAATTGGCCCTGACAAACTGAAACCATTCGCAGATATTCACAGTATATATATATAGGAAACATCCAATTGTCACAGTCAGAAGCTGTCAATATCTCCTGAGAACTAATCATGTACACAGCTTGTGGAAATTATATACTTCGCACATTTGCAAGGCACGTAACGAATGAATGCGAGCAAAACAATGATTGCAATACATAGCACGAACCCTCACATTCCAATCTTCGCAACAACCACTCCTGTTTTGTATAAGCTGATTCGCGTCTGGGGCATTGCCCAGCAGCCATATGGTTCATTTGCTTTTCGACATTTTTGACGCTTTCTCATCGCTGGCCTCCCGAGGCCGTTTCCGGAGACCTGCTGGTTGTGAATCTGCGGCATACGGCAAGTCTGAGGCTGCAAGACGACGCAAGCGAAGACGGAACTGACCCAGATGAGCATCACGCTCAGTCCAGGTCAAGATGACCTCCATAAACGAAGTGAGAGCAGGCCGCAAATCAATCTGCAAAGATGCATGGGCACCGGCTTCAGGTGTGAACGACAGTCCGAGAAACATGTCACACCCAAAGGGCCACTCCCCATCACTTTCCAGCAGGTCATACTGCAAAGGGTTCGGATGAATCCTCATTCCATTCACTACTTCCAATTGCATCACCAGAATCCGCAGCTTGCTTTCCACCCACCCGCTGAACTTGTTATAGACATCCTCTGATTTTGCTAGGATCTCAATCATGAGGAAGTGCTTGAACTCTTGAAAGAAGGGAAAGGGTGCATACACATCACACCACTCTGCCTTGTTTCCTTCCACATTTTGCACCATTTCAAATCCTCTTTTGAATTCATCAAGCAAAATACGCTTGGTCGTTTCGGTCACATTGTGTGTGGAATTCATGGATGGGAAAGCTGGAGTGATCACCGGCATCACATGTTGTCGGTCGGCGGGGTTTGACTTTGGGTTCCACACCTTGAACGCCGACATGCCCGGAACCGTGGCAGGATATTCCAAAATGTCACAGAGAGTCACCGGCTTTGCCCAATTCCATTGCCATTGATGATATAATCGGAAAAAGCGGTTCACCAATTGATTTGGTGCATAGTATGGATAGAGCTGGCATATCCGAGCCACCAGCAGGGACCAGGTGATTCCTCCAAAGAAGCCCACAATGTTGGAGTAGATACCTCTTCTTCTCGCCCAATATTTGATGAATCTCAAAGTTCGCCGAAAGGTCTCCTCGCTAGGAGACGACCCCCAAAGATGGCTAGAACCCCAAGTTGTTTCATTCAACAGTTTGATATACACATGCCTGATATGTACTGGCAATTTTGGGTAACTACTTTGTTTTCATTCAATTCAACTCTTAAAAAATTGCTCCTTGAGGGGCTTATGACCGTTGCAGTAGTCTACACATGACCTCTGTTCAAATGACTGTCCGCCAGCTGGTCTTAGGGGAATATATGTGAACATGTTTTCACACAAACTCCCTTGAAAGCCTTGACGCTCAACCAGGAGCCTCAGGACCAAGGAAAGAGGTCCAACTCCCAGGGTAGAGAAACATCGTTTCAGAAAAACCACACTAAAGCTACCTTTGGATAGGTTGGACATCTCAAAGTTTACGCAACCCCGTGGGCAAGAAATCGAAAGGTTTAAGGTCGGTCTAACCACTCTAATGAGTCATCATGTAAAATCGTCTTGCGCGTGACCTCAGTCTCCTGGTTGGGCACCAGCTTCAGGATCTGATCTGCGACCCGGAAACCATTCAAGCATCGAACACTCTTCTCGTCCATGTTCTTTAAGACCTCGTCTTCCTTTGCAACCTCCTCTGCAACTTCGGCCTCTGGAGGTCTTGCAAGGCGAGCAAAGAGTAGATCGATGCAAACACCTCTCATTTTCAGCTTGATGATGGGTGTATACGCATCTGGGATCGGCACACATTCACTCACATCTTCATGCTGATCAAGAACTGTTGCAAAGGTTGAGAAGAAGTCCTCTCTCCGGACGAAAGGTGGAGCGATGCAAAGGGTGTCAATGTCACTTCCAGGATGCACAACACCCAGCCTGTAAGACCCCAAGGTTGTGATTTTCACTGTGGACTTCTTAATCTCCTCCTCTGAGATGTTTGCCTCCATGCATTGCTTTAACATCCATTCGTGAAAGAGTCGTTCAAGCTCTTGAAGCACTCCCTGGCGTCTTTCCATGCCTTCAGGTGTTTCAGTGGGAAAAACCATTTCGAGCTCTTCCTTCATCCGCTCGCTCAAGACCAGGTCATGTGCCTCAGCTTCCTGCAAAGAGATCGGGTCGGAGATGCCATACCTCACAGCTGGCCCCAGCTTTGCCGATGAAACGGAAGCGCCCGGCGAGGATTGGCTCATGGGCGAGGATTCGCTCCGCTTTGAGCCACGGAAATGGCCACTCCAAATAGCTAGATTGATTCATCATTGGTCTTGCATACCGTATCAATCATACCGTATCGTGAAGCTATGTGAAGACCCCATGTGAAGCTTCCATTCATGAAGTTCAGCTCATTCTCCTGCATAGCCCCTCAGGCCTGACTTGCCCAACCTCAGCAAGAGAGATTCTTCAACGGCTGGTTAGCTGATACGTTTATGTGTTGTTTTTCTTCTGTGGTAATCCAGAAACAAGTCCTCGCTCTCTGAACCGATTGAACATCCACAAAACGGGCTTACGACTTACACCAAATACATGCAAAGACTACAATAGTAATTCGCCATAATACTCGCTAATGACATATTATTGACATTTATTGACCATAATATCTATTGCTTTCAGTCGTATTATGTCGGATTATTCCGGGAGATCGCTCTTCGGATCACCGTCAGTTTCACCGAACGAATTCCTCCGAGCGACGGCCAGCCACTCGCTGCGAGGGATGTCGCTGGGGTGTCTGACGCCTTAGAATCATCGGCAAAATTCGTACCCAATTGGTAGCACACCTCCATCATTTGGGGAGCGGCGGGAGTAAAAAATTGGATTGGGTTGCAAAATACTGCAAGTATGGAAGCGGCGTTCAGTGTGAAATCTTGGTTTGGTGCGGTGTCAAATCACCGTCCTCAGAAACTCTTGATGATCCACTTGTATCCACTTGTAACAAGACTTTTTATTGAGGTCGAGTCAGCTCTAAGAACACCTACTAGCGATGGCCTCCAACCTACTAGCGATGGCCGCCAACCTACTACTTATAGACTCTAAGAAAAGCATGCTGTTTATATCTCTTTATTAGTAACAAGAAGTTACTAGGGGCTCCTGGCCTTACTACTAGGAGCAAGGACGCTACTAGGGGCTCCTGGCATCGCTACTAGGAGCATTCTTACAGACCTTTTTCAAAGGTCAGCTTCGACCTTCGAAGCTCAAAAACCGACCCTTCGGATCAGCTCCCCTCAGCCCCAGTCGGCCCCATTCGGCCCCCGGGCTTCACAAACTTGTAAGCTCCAACCTCCCGCCACTCCGACCACCTCTCGGCTGCCCCAAAGGGCGGAGTCCGTCAGGATCTGTTGTGTGAGTCTGACTCTGTGACAATCAATAGCTTCTTGTTACTACTAGCGAGGCACCTGTTACTACTAGCGTGGCACTTGTTACTACTAGCTTCTTGTTACTACTAGTAAGGCACTTGTTACTACTAGCGAGGCACTTGTTAAAAGCAGATAAAACCATTCTTTTTGACGCTGTTTGTGTCTAAAGGTACTAGTAGTTGTCCATATAACATCATATAACCATGTCGAACTCCTTGACCAAAGCCTAAGACGCAACATCGTTGGGACACAGTCATGACGGAAATACTGCACAGCAAGGGCATCAAGTGTTCTGCTAAATGTTATTTTTTCTTAACATTTCACGACTGTGACCATGATCATGACTCTGTGTGACTGTGACCTCCCTGCCTCGGTGGCTCCTTAGCCGGAGCTGTGGCAGTCTGATATCCCAGTCTGCTGCGGAGATATTTGGTCGCATGCGGACTCGTGACTCGGGTCAACGAGTTGAACCATTCGACCCCCATGTCTCAACCAGTCCCTTCTGCATTTGAAGGCCATGCTTCACCGGCTGAGGCAGCCCTCAACACCCGGCATTGCACGCGGAAGGGCAGCGGAAATTCACCCTGAGTGCAGATCTGACTTCATCCGTCAAACGATCCCCGTACTGTTCTAACGTACAGGGCATCTTACACTGACACTACAGGAGCTTACGTAAAAGCGGTTTGGTAGTCTGTCCTACAAGTATCATTGAATCATTGGCCGCAGTCCACTGCAACAGATGGATCCGACACAAGACTCAAACGACCTCCAGAGATCATCCTGGTCCTCCTTCTACTGTGTGGGTCGAAAACCCGACAAAAGGAGAAAAACCATGAGTGGCGTATGGGAATTGAGGCGCGAGCTGGCAAAGCCTTCGGGACGAAGGGCCCCTTGTGCCAGTCTCCACTCTCCATCTCGCAGAAGTGGGCTGGATGCCGGAAGGGCCAACGGAGAACCATGGATCCCAGTCCTGCCAGCTGCATGGGCTTCTGAGATTGACAGAAACACCAAAGCTGCTTGACCTGTGGAAGTTTCTTGTGAAAGCATACACAGCATCTCCCCGTGGTGGCTTAAATTGCGTCCTCCCCCTTGTGCGTCAGGTAGGAATTCAGTGGACAGGAATGGTTCCGGTGATGGCAATGCTGTCAAGAGCTCCGGCACAAGCATCAGCTGGGACCAGCAGTATTTTGGGCCTGAGGATGTAGAGGTAGATCGTTACTAGGAGCGATCGGACGCTACTAGGGGCTCCCGGCCATACTACTAGTAACAAGAAGCTATTAGAAACAAGGGCCTTACTAGTAGTAACAAGCGCATCGCTTCTAGTAACAAGTGCCTTACTAGTAGTAACAAGAAGCTATTAGAAACAAAAAGAACACTTCAAGTTGGTGCTCCAGTGCTCCAAGATGCTCCAAGCAACAGCTGTTTTAGGGCATCTGTTGCACATCTTTTGCATCAGCTCCGGTGCTAGGAACAGCCACAGCAGGCATGCTTTGGCTAAGCTCCACACTGAAGTTGGTCTCCAAAGGCAAACTCAAATAGCGCGCTTTGACACCTCGCAAGCAAGGTGTCTTTCCTTCCAGATTTTTGAGGAGAATTGGTCCAGCCGAACACATACAACATTCGTACAACTGCATACTCCTCCAAGGCACTAAAGTACACCTGTGAGAGTGGTACCAAAGGCGTCTTCCGAAGGTCCACTTCGCACTCAATGATCTTGCCCTGCACCTCGCAATCAGCAACAAAGAAAACTCCAAGACAATGGGACATGCTACCGGCACCTACCGGCTACATGACACTGATTCGATCAATTCGATGGGTCTGGCTGGGTCGGCTGTGGCGAGTCCATTGGACTCGCGTCACCGTGCCCCAAACCTTCGGGGCTGCTGTGGCCGCCATGGCCTGATCACTCTTCACAGTGGTGACGAAGATCGGCGTCGCATTGAGCCACTCAGGCCCTGCGCCAGGGATTCGACTGGGCCTCAGGAGGACAATCGATTTCCAAACATGATACAACTCGAATGTGACATGACCAAAAACACCCAAAAACCGGTGCCTTCCTCTCTTCATCTCTCTTTCAACTCCTTCGATGTCCTTCGACTTCTGTGCATCCAACCCCCAAAGGAACCTACTGCACCAAGCGACTGATCCAATGAACGGGCGTAGGCGTGCAGCTCTTCGGTGCTGGCAGCACCCAGCACATCAGGCCTCTGCCAGGCCTCCCGAGAATCATCAAAAATGGGGTCTCTCAAAACTGCAATTCCTTTCAAACCAATGGGTTTGAAACGCTATTCTAGTAATTCTAGTAGGCAAGCTGGCATCTTTTGTCCGACTTTGATTAGATACCCAAGAATACCAAAGCCAGCTATCGCATGTTTGATGAGATGCGCTGCAATCACTGCAAGTGCTTTGGGTGTCATGCAGCCCTTGGCAACAGCATGGCCTCTATGCAATACTCCACTGGCAAGGGGCTTCGCGAGTCAAAGGTCCCAAATGCAGGAAATGCCACGTGCAGCACGTGGTCTTGCACCCCGAAGGCCTGTGGGATGCGCTCAAGGAAAATGGATTAATAGCAGCTCCAAACACGTCCAGCCCTCAAAGTGCGATCTCGGGTTGAGGGTGGTGCGTTGTTGTCGTTGTCGCTGTCGCTGTCGTTGTCGTTGTGGTTGTTGTGGTGGTGGTTGTGGTGGTGGTTGTGGTGGTTGCGGTCGGTGGTTGTGGTTGTTGTGGCTGTGGTTGTTGTGGTTGTGGTTGTTGTGGTTGTGGTTGTTGTGGTTGTGGGTGTGGTTGTGGTGGTGGTTATGGTGTGGTGGTTGCGCTGGTTGTTGTGGTTGTGGTTGTTGTGGTTGTGGTTGTGGTTGTGGTGGTTGTTGTGGTTGTTGTGGTTGTGGTTGGGGTTGTGGTTGCGGTTGCGGTTGCGGTTGTTGTTGTTGTTGTGGTTGTTGTTGTTGTTGTTGTTGTTGTTGTTGTTGTGGTCGTGGTTGTTGTTGTTGTTGTGGTTGTGTTTGTTGTGGTTGTGGTGGTGGTTATGGTGTGGTGGTTGCGGTGGTTGTGGTTGTGGTTGTGGTTGTGGTGGTTGTGGTGGTTGTGGTTGTTGTGGTTGTTGTGGTTGTTGTGGTTGTTGTGTTTGGGGTTGCGGTTGCGGTTGCGGTTGGTGTGGTTGTGGTTGTGGTTGTGGTTGTTGTGGTTGTTGTGGTTGTTGTGGTGGTTGTGGTTGTTGTTGTTGTTGTTGTTGTTGTTGTTGTTGTTTCACCATACCCAAGTTGTCAAAAGGAACCATTTGCTGTTCACTGCCCTCAGGAATGCGTCACAAGCACTCCACGTGTCGCACCTGGGACCGGGATGGCTTTTCCATTCGGATGGCTATGGCTATTCCATTCACTGATCTGGACAAAGGGTTTAGCGTGCCATGAAACATGTCGTGGTCCCTCAATGTATATAGCCTGTTTGAGAAACTAGGCCACTGGGAATACGCCAACCTTGATCAACACTACCTCAGACCGGACGACCCTCTTTGGGCTGCAGCTTCCAATGTGTCGACCGCTCTGGCGCCTCCATGGCTGGCTCTTGGTGCAAAAACTCGCAACGCATGTGCACGTTGGCAGGCTCCAAGTCGCAGGCCTATCCAGTCCATTGGGTGATTAGAATACTTCAGATTCTTTGAGAAAAAGCACTTCGACTCTCCATCTCAATCTCACTACTTCGACTCTTCGACTGAAAGGTGAGGCGATCAGCTGGGTCTCAAACGTCAGTTCTCATGGCCGTATGGGTGTGTTGACTAGTAGCATCCGATCGCTCCGTTCGTAGCGTAAAATAGGGAGACCTCTCAGTTTGACCAGTCTATCCATTGGTCATTGGGCCAGGAGATCTTCCTATTAAGGAGCTACTAGGAGCAAGGACGCTACTAGGGGCTCCTGGCCTTACTACTAGGAACAAGAAGCTACTAGGGGCTCCTGGCATCGCTACTAGGAGCAAGGACGCTACTTGGTGGTTTGACATTCGAGTCACTCCGTCACTCTCGGCAAGAAGTCATGGTTTTCTCGGCCTTGAGACGTTTGGGCTCCGAAGGAGCGCTCCATTCGCTCCTAGGAAAAAGCGAAGGCCCGGAGCCGAAGGACTTCCTTGAGTTCTGTCCAGTCACAGGAGTGACTCATAGTGAAAGGAACCCCTTGGTCATTGGTTAGCCAGTCTCCACAAGAACTGTATCCAGCAGTTTCAAGGCACATTTCTGGAGTTGACCTTTCAGTGATGGATTCTTTGGAGGTCTTTGGAATGCCACCTTACCCACGTCAGATCAACAGGCAACTAGGAACAAGCGTTGTGATGGACTTGTTTGATGCAAAGGTGAATCGGCCTCCATTCAACGCCCTTCGCTAAAAGCAAGAACTACCATTGGACTACCATCCATGCAATATCCTTAAGCTGGGTGGCTCCACTTCTCATGGGATCACTGTAAAGCCAGAGCACTGGCTAAGACATTATGGCAAGGGAATCTGAGAGAGCTCAGGACCTGACATGTTTCCCAAACCAAAGCAATTTGGCAATACTCAGGACTCAGGGGGCTCCTCAAAGTCTTGTTTGATTTGACAAGGTTCCATTCTGTCACTCCTTTCCAAAAATAAGATTCATCAAATCCTTTCAGCAACCTGCTTCTGGCGTCTTTGCCCGACAACCAAGTAAGAATCCAATGGGGCATAGTTTTTTGTTGGGTTCCAGCACTCATCTTCAAGGTAGACACAAAACAACAATATTATATAGGTCAAACCTCAGAAGGGTTTCAACAAACTCTGAGCAACAAATGCTTCTGAAATCAAGTACGATCGCTTACTGACTCACCCATCCATCAACTCATTTACAACCCAGTGATTATGGTCAGCCACAACCGGCAACCCATTATAACAGTGTGGAGAAAAGACACTCTTTGGTGGCTTTTGTGGAGGATTACCACATTGTCATCTGCCTGGCTTAATGGCCCTATGGGTATCATCAATGGTATGCTGCGAGAACTGAACTATGATCGTATATCTATTTGCTTCTCTTGAGATTATGAGATTCATCTCCATCCCCAAAACTGCGCGAACAAGCACTTCTTTCGAAACCAAGTGGCCACCGGTCCGCGGACCCCGCCCGGACGCTGACGATATACTCTTCCCCATAGCGCAGGAAATCCGAAAGGAAGGCGCTCACCAGCTGATTTTGACCCTGCGATGCTTTGCAACACACCGTGTGGTGTGAAGAAGTGACAGATTTCGCTGATTGGATGAGGGAATTCTGGCACAGACTGCTTGTAGTTTTGCTTGCTGAAATGCTACCACTGCTACCACAAAGAAAGTGGGTGAACAAATATGCTAAAGGTCCAAAACCATTGTAAACAAGGAACAAAACACCTAGCAAATTAGTACAGGTTTATGGATGGACATCCTGTACATCTGAGTGACGCTGTTTATTTCTTATGTGGGCTTTGCACACTCGAGTTTGGTGAGTGGCTGATCGTTTTTTGGAGGCTGTTTTCAGAGTTCTGCATAATTTTCAGGCATCATCGGTGGGGTTGAAACATGTGACTTTTGCCGTGAAATTTTTAGCGGTGCCAAATTTGGAGCTAGTCGAGGAGGACGGTGATGATGAAGACTCCAGCTTCTCGTGCCTCGTTGCGGCTGATCCTGTTTGCCTATCAGCCTAAATATATCCTAATACATCTATATAATATATCCTAGGTCGGAGGATGTCGGAGGCCATCGTCAGTAGGTCGGAGGCCATCGCTCTTATTATACCGGCATTATGCTGTGAATCTGTCCTTCCAAGCATCTTTGCCGATTTGTGTTTGCCGGATCTACTGCTTCAGCACATCTCTTCTTGCAAGTTGAAGTTTTCGGGCTCAGCTTACCTTCACGAGCGTTGTTCGGCAGTTCGAGGCCTTCATTCGACTCAGCGAGCAAATGCTTCAATAAGTTAATAACATGTTCAATTCAATCATGTTCATACGTCTTCAGATCAGCATGTCTTGAGTTTGTTTTGAAGTCATGGACCACGGATATACTGCAAGACAAATGGGAGAGCATCTTCCCGGCACACAATTGTGCACTTTCGGATGTTCGTTTAGGCGATCGGTTCTAAACCGGCTGCTTTACTGTTTGTTTTGGGGAACAATGAGGCTCTGGAGGCTTAGCAGGCGGTCTCAGACGACGAGCAGGTTGAAAGTCAGAATTAAGCTCTGGAGGCTCTGGAGTCGACAATGGCTACTAGTAACAAGGGCATCGCTACTAGTAACAATTGCTTGTGTCTTTTGAGCCTTGCATGAAATTGCCATGCTTTGCATGCAGCAAACTCCAAATGCTAGCTCTTGGGCTTACAAGGGATAGAGAACGGCCAGGCAAAGCTTGGACGGAATACCCCGTCTTAGAGAAACACACCTGTGATACATCACCCAGTGCAAGAAAACATGGACCTATTGCAAACATGGTGATAGATAGACATGGTGTTGTCATTTCTTGATGGACACATTATCTTTCTCCATCTTTTTGGAAGGCAAGTTGTTCAAACCCGATGTCAAGTCCTTTACTAGACTAAGTGTTCTAAGGCATGTAACACGCCTTGCTCATGTGTATAGTAGCCTCTGGACTCAAACGAAACAAAAAGAACCACAAAAATACAACAAAAACACACACACACAAATCAATAAAAACATCATAATTATATAATCAGCTAAGCCAGCTTCAAACAATTTTGAGTCGCTTTACAGCTTTTTACTTGCATGTCCTTGTTTACTTGCATGTCCTTGGCCTTGATTAAACTTAAATTGAGCATCTACTGAGTTCTGGCTGGGTCGTGACTTTTTGACAGACTCGCTACTGGTACAGTAATGAGCTTCAGTTTCAAGGTTGCCCTCTCACAATTCAATGCAAAACCATGCTAATCATACTATGGAGCCATGTTCTACGATACAACCCATCAGTGACTACTGAGACAGAATCTTCGGAGCAGGCCTCATCCGCAGACACGCAGAAAAATGGCTGGGCTTCCTTCCAAACCGCTTGCTCGCTCGGCCCCAAACGAGATGTTCTGGCCACTCGGATTTGGAAGCGACAAATCACCTGAAAGGCCAGATTCAGCTGGGTGCACTCGAAGCAACTGGATCTTCGCAAAAGCAACGATGCAAAGGCAACCTTGAACTGGACTATACCGGAAGCTACCATACTTGCCATCTGGTCAATGGTCGTCAAAGGTCATTGGATCCCTGTGACTGCTACAGGTCCTGTGACCGCTGAGACGAAAAGAAAGAGTCTTTTGGAAGACATGCTCCTTGAAAACAGACCAGCACCGGCATTGCTGCCGAAGAGCACAAAAGGGATCCACCTTGACATCCTTCAAGCACCAGGTAGCCAACAAGGTAATGCCACCAATCCGCCGTTGTGCCTGTGATCGGAATCACCAAGTCAGCAAGCTGTGAACAAAGCACAAATGACCATGATCCTTTACCAGTTTCAGCATGTGGATGCTTCTTGCCATTTCTCACCAATCATTTGGGGGACTACTCTTACTCTTGAGTGACTCTGAACTTGTGCGTGCAGGTCTTTTTCCAGCTGAACTTGTCAGCGTGTCATTCTCCTACTCCCAAGCACCAGCACTGATTCGTTGTGACAGGACACCGTCACATGGTCAGCACCCAGGAAGTCCATATCTTCATCGGTCCACTCCTGAGACGATCTGAGACATGACTTAAGACTTAAGCTATTCTTAAGTTGACTATAGAATGTAGGTGGTTACAGTTTCATCATGTTTTATCACTTCAATATCAAATATACTTTAACTATATTTAAATTCTATACACTTATGTTGAATCACCTTTTTTTGGACCATGCAGAACGAAATGGGTGTCCTTGTACACCCATCCCGGGGCTGCGCGCATTGCCTCTGTGCTGTCGGAGGTAACACGTACCTGGCGTTGTCCGTCAGGTGAAGGAGCACCGATGGCTCAATGCCCTGGACCAAAACCGATCTTACAACTTTCCAAAGTCTAGGCTAGGCAAAGGTTCTCTCCCAATTTATGGAGTTTGACCAACCAACTTCCGTTTGAAGAGGTATGAAATTCTATACCACCATATCCCCCTGCTAGAAATGATCTGGGATTCCAGCCGGGGGGGTCAATTGTTGACGGCGTTTTGCGTGGTAGCCATCAGCTGCCAAGTCGACAGCAATTGTGAGGTAATGTGAGGTACAACTAGCACTGCATGGGAGAATATCAACTCAGCATACCTGCGGGTGCATCTCGAAGCCATAATTCCTCAATATTCACACCATTTCCCACCTATCTTAAGTGGATGTTGCTTGGTTTTCCGATTAAAACAAGTTCAAAGGGACTTCCTCCACCGGGCCCGGTGTGCTGTACCGGCATTGCTGGGCGGATCCCGCGCCTCGGGTCGTTGCACAAGATCCGGCAGCTCCGCCCGACGTTGTGCGGTGCCTGCGGAATTGTGTGACGCTTCGTGTCTTCACTCGTCTCGCTTCCGAGACGCTTCCGAGACCCGGATGGAATGAGTGCTTCGGAATAGCCTCCTGCACAACACATGCACATGTCTAACTGCTCAGGAGGTGGCAAATTGAATCCAAGAATCCTGGAGTGCCATCTACCAGACCGTGTCAGAGATGAGGTGGAGTCCCAATGGTGTCGATTCACCGAGTGAATCAACTGCTCTGCCACCGGTGTCCCATGCGATTTCTCGGCACAAAAGGTTCTAACGAGTCCAGCACATTGGGCCCAGTGGACCGGCCGAATGTGTTTAAAAAACATCTGAACTCCGGCGCCTTTGGCGAATGCATTGCCAAGGATACCAAACATCCCTGCTGCCATGCTGACCTAAATATTGGAAGGATCAGAGTTGTCGAGTTGTCCAAACTGGCCAGAACCTTCAAGTTGAATGAGGTTATCTTAAGCGAATTCTGGAGCAAGAGCACGCTGTCAATTTTGTCTCGTCTTTTCCTAGCATGGGGACCCTCAAATGAGCTGACCATGATTGGTCAAACATTGGGTCGCCAAAGTTGGATGCCAGGGCACTGCACTGCCACCGCTCTTCACATGGCTCAGGAGGCGGCTCCCGGACTGCTGGTGAGTGAGTTTGCCTGCCCAACACACTGGACCACAAAATGCCAAGGGTGGCCCTAACCCAGGAAACAATTAAGAACAATGTTCGCTACTAGGGGCTCCTGGCATCGCTACTAGCAAGGACGCTACTAGGGGCTCCTGGCCTTACTACTAGGAGCAAGAAACTATTAGGTTGGATGACTTAAAAACACGTCCTTCGGAACAGAACTGCATTCTCTCCGGGAAGCTGCCAAACAAAGCAAACAATGGGGTTCACTGTCAAAGGCTCCACAGGCTGTTGTTATGGCTCGCGTCTAAAGTACTAGAGCAACACAGTCTGTGGCAACAATGCTGGAGTGAAATTGCCCAGGGAAGGAATTCCCTGTGGCGAATCAATGTTCACTACTACTAATGTAATGACAACACCACTTGTAGTGAGGGCATCAGTAGATTTTGCCTTTTCAACGAATCCAATCATCTTGTGGACAAAGGGTTCGCCATGTTCACTGCCCTGTGGCTTTCGGCTTGAGGAGAAACCGTCACTCCCACACACTTCTCCTGACTGATGAGATCGGCTGGGCTGAGAGGTTCCACTCATGAGTGAGGGGGCATTCAACGGCTCGAACTCCTCTCGCACGTCCAAGCTCCGCTCATCTCGAGGACCGAAGGTGACAGGGTCAATGCTGAAATAGACCTGACAGTCGTGACGCGCCTTGAAAAACACACTCAGTTACTGGGATCCTTCAACAAATCCGTGCAACAACATGTTCAGCATTCTGGTGTCTTTCGTCAAAGCACTTGTCTGAGAATAGAAAGCCATTGCCAACACAAACAGTTGAGTAGTTATTTTTGGATATTTTTGGTACTTGGAGATTATACACTGCACAGGCTCCTACGCGCCAGCCTACGCATAGCCTACGCCATGCACAAAGTTGCCTACGCACCGTCCATTACGTTGGATTGTCTCAAACGGCATGTGAACCAATCCAGCAGCATGGCTGGATTTGAGAGCAGCACTTGCAGCTTTCAACTTGCTCTGTGTGTGGTCCATGCGCCCAGTGATAGGCCAGTCCTTTAGTTATGTTCTCCCCCGGTCTAGCAACTTATGTAGGTGCCTCCGCCTACAGCCTACACAAGCCTACGCCTACCCACCAATACCCACCAGTATCAGGAAAGCAGCCTACGCAGCATTGAGGGAGTTCCCTCTTCATCTTCTTTCCATCATCTCCAAAAAACGCTACTCAGTTGTGCAAACTGAATGTGGAATGGAGCTACTCCAAAAGCGAATTTCGGGGTGTCTATTTGGGCATGGGGAGAGTTTCCCGAACGAGGAACACTATTTCAATAATTATTCGTGAAGGGAAGGTGTCAACACTTAGTACCTGGGTGTTTTTTTTCATTTGATATGCGGGCTCAATCATTCTTGCAAGTGTTACGAAGTCCTGAACAGGACAGCCGTCACTACAAAGCTACAACATGTACAATAGAGCGGCAATGTCTATTGGTAACGGGATCAATCTACTGTGATCTTTCGGTGACCATGCAAGCAATGGAAACTAGAAATAGACCTAAACACCAACCCCTAGTCTAACTTGTCTAACTCAAACGAAATTGTGGTTCTTCCTGGAAGATGCTCTGTCTCCACTCATCGACATGAGGGTGTGTCAATAAAGCAAGGGCCTTTGGCCTCCAACCTACTAGTGATGGCCTCCAACCTATATAATATCATATAATAGCCATCAAAGGCTGGGAGCCCATGCCTGGCCTCTCTTAGGAATTCGTTCAGGCATTCCAGGAGCTCGGTGTCACGCTTGCCGAAGGGTTGGTACTTTGTCTCTGCCCTGGCAAGAAAACGACTGGTCCGGTGGCTCAGGGACCTCATGGGACCTCCCTCAATGGTCATGAGGTGATGCACTCTTCAGATCAGTCCTTGCTGAACTGGTGAACCATGGTGACCCAGCATGATCAGCAAGGCCCTTGTCTTCAAAATGCGATCCACTCGCACCCCTGAGCCCTCCTTCACTGCCGTCAGTCACAAGCAAACAAACTGCCTTTACAGGGGCTGTCCGCCCTCTTTATTCCTACCAGCTGGGCAACCACGTCCAAAGCTACATCAACAAGACCGGCCTATCTTTGGCGCTGGTGAGATGCAGTTGGGCGGCCCGACCGCGCGACAGCCGGTTGGTCATCTTCAACACTCCAAAGACGCGTGGATCTGCCAAGGCATGCTCGGAGTCCACCGATGCATAGTCACCGAAGGGGTCCTCCTAAGCAGGTTGGCAAAAGACCAGCTTGACAAAACATGTCATATGATTCTTCTGCATGGACTTCGGTTTGATGATTGTTTCGTAAGCCCATCTCACAGCTTTAAACATGTGTATATACATTATAATTCTATACACAATGTCCTGCACACACTCCTTCCCGCTGCTGGCGAGAAGAAGTGAAGAAGTTCAAACTCCGAAGTTCTTCCAATGAACATGTGAAAGCTGTTCTTCAACAGTCCTCGGAAGGGCTTCCAAAGCACAAGGGGAAGGCGAGGACGTTGCGGACTTTTGATACCTTAGTGGACGCCAACAGCATGTTTCAGCGGCTAAAATTGGCAACGTTTGCGATGAGATAAGACAGAAGGAACTAGCAATTGGTGTTCAATAATGCTTTGCTGTCTTGTTCTAGAGATTCTAGAAGCTGCTTCCTAGCCCTGCTGCTTCCTGCTCTGCACGATCGATCCAGTCTCTCTGTTGAAAGCACAAGACTTTGCGCGCAGGGCCCTTCCCAAGAACACGTGTGAAAGAATGCGTGCAATGTGCTGATCTAGGCTGAGTGAGGCGGAGATTCGGAAGTCCTCAAAAGCACCATTGACCAACACCGCCAAGGGCCAAGAAGAACGACTTCGGAATTCATTGACGCCAAGTTGCTGTGGGCATGGACTCATCAGACTCCGGGGCACCACCGGCTGACAAGTCATGGAAGGTACCCTTGCTTGGAACAGGATACCTGAGCACTCGCGGGTGTGAAAACCGGTCACTGGAAAAGGTCGGTTCCTCATTCAACAATCTTCTTGGTCACATCATACCCTGTGCAAAATGCAGGACTCCTTTCAACTTTAATCCACTCTGCGACAGAGGGCCTGTCTTGCATCAGAAAAGCTCTAAAGGCTCGGTATCTTCGAATATGGCCGTGGCTTCAAAACCCAGGCACAGCCCTAATGCTATATATAGAGCGAGGCTCTCTTCTTGACCAACACTTGGCAAAAAGTGAAGCATCTTCAGCCCAGTCTTTTGGAATCCAAGCTGCAGGCCCATGGCTTCCGAGCTAGCCCACTCTACCTGCATCAAAGGTCGCACCAAAGATCCCATGCAATATACTTGTTGAGCTACAATTATATACATCAGGATAACTTATGCAAAAAGAAACACCATCAACGTCAGCTGTTTGCTTGACAAAAACCAACCAACCAACCAACCAACCAACCAAGCAAGCAAGCAAGCAAGCAAGCAAGCAAGCAAGCAAGCAAGCAAGGTCAGTTTGCTTCATTTGTTTACACAGTTACACATGTTACAAATCAATCTCAACCTGGCAGCCTGCGCCATTCCAGGCCTGTGCTTTGGTCACCGTCCGGGCACGGACGGGAAGTCCGCAGGGCTCGGCCTTCATGGCACAGGCGCCCTGCAAAGTGCTCTCCTGGTGAAGCCATAAACTGGGATTTGATGGAGTCAAACATGTTATGTACTATATACTATCTATATATAGTTTGATGCAGCTCTCCTAGGATTTCGTTGACGAGTCTGGTAAATGTGTGAGCACCAAACGGGGACATCAGCGAAGCGTCTGGACTTGCATGACTCGACCTTTAATCAAACATACTCAAACAGAATCAAACACTGATTACACATATATAATATATATATAATCCCACAATTCCTTTTATATAAAATCCTAGAATCCCTGGTGATACTTCCTTAATCTTCCTTAGATACTACTTCCTGTCACCTGCGGAATCCAGCGGACATGCATCTACGCCCACCCCGCATCCCGGTCTCCGAGACTGGCTGCAAGCTTGGCCCACGCCGCTCAGGTGGAAAAGCATCCAGGAAGCTATTCACCTCAGCTTAGACTGCTTTGCCTAGACTCTAGACCATTGACTATACGACGCCACCGTTACAAAGTCATACAAAGTCTCTGCAGATATTGATTCACCTTGTTTCATCATGTTTCATCAGACCTCCAAACCTTCTTCATCCAATGCAAGCAAATTCAGGCCAGGTAGCTCTTCGGAGATATCGGCCGCCTTCCTCCACTAAGTAGAGAGTGACCTGGTTTTCTCACGCCGTATCTGAACATTGCCACAGCGGAAGGGTTTTCAAGCTTCACCCACAATCAAATCCCTGTATTCCCAATGTCTCGTCGGAGATGGGGTGAGTCTTGGAATTGTCCTGCTTTGAATATTTTCTGAATCGATTACACTAGAACGACCAAATCTTCCAACATCTTCCAATTCGACATGCCTTGACTTGCAAGCTTGCGAAATCTTACGAAGCCTTCTTGCCTTCTTCTGGTCTGCCACCCAGTCCACCCCTGCTCAGCTTTCATCAGGCTACCGCTTCGCAGGGAATCAAAAAGCGGGCCAAGATCTCAAGGGCTTTGTACCTTGCATGTGGCTGTGGAGTTGACACTTGGCACATCTTAGAGGCAGGAAAATCGTTTCTGAGGTTGCAATGGGGGATTCGGGGGGGGTAAGAAGCTACTAGTAACAGGTGCATCGCTAGTAGTAACAGGTGCCTTACTAGTAGTAACAAGAAGCTATTAGAAACAAGTGCCTTACTGGCCCTGCGGCATACAACTGGCTCCTGGAGTGCCGAGGTGCATTTTGGTCCAATTCATCTCACGAATTCCCGCGGCCACCCGACTCAGGCACATAAAGGCCGCTGGTGGCACGGTGACCTTCGCCTTCCCCTTCTTCACCTGAAAGCATGGAGATCTCACATCTGTGCCACCAACAAGCTCCAACGGCGTACAATCCAAAGATATTTCAAACATATCCAAAGTAGTTATATTTCATAATTGCTCCCATGTGGGCTGACACTCGCACAGTGGATTTACCATTGTTCATCACTTTTCAACAGCCTCATTCCACCTGGCACCTGGATTGTCTAAGAGACGGTGCACATGACCACTGGCAGCCAAGTCACACCCCCATATTTGGCCGTGCGATTCTTCGGTGGGGCAGAGATTCCCTGTTTCGCATACGCAATGCTTGCATGGCTTGCCGAAGGAGCGCTGCCCTCTCGTTTTGTTGACGTCATCCGGCTTTCCTCGTGTCTCGTGCAGGCTCATATCCACATGTAGCAGGCAAACAATTATATACCACTGAGCACATAGGCCCATACGACCTCCACGTTCCAAACAATTGAACTACGTGGCAAGCTACGTACTGTGTAATATGTCCCAGGGTCAGAAACAACTCTCACAGCCTTGATTAGGATTAGGATTGCCCATCTGTGCACGATTCAACGAGATGAAGGTGAATCCTACGCAATGGTGCCTTAGAAATTGAAAAAAAAAAACCGACCAAAATTTCTTACACATGGTGCCGACTAAAGTCGATTTGGTTGGGACAGTCTGGACGCATTCTGATGTCACATCACATTTACTCCAAGCTGCTGGACTTCCTGGACTGGACAGGCGTGCACGGTTGGAGCTGCGCTGTGATCGGTTGCGCGTCAAATGACTGGCCGGGCTTCGGCTGCTGGGACTGGCCTCACTGACCACTTCTTCCCTGGGGATGGGTGGGGGGGCATGACATGCTGCTCCGGTCGTTGGATCCAGAGCTGTCGCGCTGGTAGGGAGATCACCCACTTGCAGAGGGCGGTGCTCGCCCGGCGGCCTCTTTCGGGTCGCCCGAGAGGCGGAGGTGTCCATCCCTCGACCTCGGTCAGGCGGAGCTGGCGGAGGAGAGCTTTGTATCGCTCCCCCAGCGCGTGGTTCTCGAGCGCTTCGTATAGCTGGCTCTGCTTCAGCCCGGGGTGGCCTTGGTGCTTCGCCTCCCACTGCAGGCAACTGCAAATCCAAAGCACCCCTTGTACCTGGCCCAAACAGGCGTGAAACATACAGGACGATTCCACACGGTAAAGCAGGCGTCTTTTTCCG